AGATTTGCGCCTCTTGGAAGATTACTAATACGGCAAGCAACACCATTGTGAGCTCTGGTGAATGACGGCATTTGGCCCCATGTGTGGCTCCATTTGTGAAGTGAAGCAGGGTCCAGCGTTAAGCGTTAGGACAAAAAGGCGCCTGCACCCATCATATCTTATTTGAGTCAAAACTGTCAACAGTCACAGGGATCAGGCGGGTCACGGTCGCCATGCCTGTAACTGTCGGCGTTTTTGAGCTCTCACATCTTTTCGGCGTGTCAACAGTGTCAACAGTCACTGGGATCAGACGGGTTACGGTCGCCATCCTCGCAATTGTCATCATTTTTGAGCTCTCACATCTGTTTGGCGTGTCAAAAGTGTCAACAGTCACAGGGATCAGACGGGTTACGGTCGCCGTCCTCGTAACTGCCAATGTTTTTGAACTCTCATATTTTTTTGGCACGCCAAAGTGTCAACAGTTACAAGGATGAGCGTGACCCGCCCCAAAATATATGAGCCACACCTATTAAAAAAGGGGTAAGCTACACCCATGAAAAAACCATCCGCCGGTTCAAGGTTTACAGTAGGGCAATATGTTGGGCTTATGTAGGGATAATGGAAAGGAAAATGGAAACTACAGAGATAAAAAGGATGAAAAAGGGGTTAAAAAAGGGCTATATAGGGATTATAGGGTGTCAGATAGGGTTATGTAGGGGTCAGGGAAAAGAAAATGGAAACTACTATTTAGGTTTTAGTGAAAATAGGCCCCCTTAAGTAGCAGTACTATGCGAGCTGTTCTGTATGCTGCCAAGGACTGACAGCCTCAAGATTTTTGGGGAGCCGTGTGTTTGGTGTGGCGGTGATAAATGCGGGGCGGGCTGCTCAATGGGCATGCCAGCACTTCAGTACACAGAGTGAAGTGATGAAACTTGCATCATGCTTCACACGTGATGGCGAGGATGATAGCACTGCTCTTTGTGCGCCGCGAACAACGCTGAGCAGCATCCTCCCCCATGGAGCGGAAGTTGCATCATGCGCAGGCCAGGCACAGCCGGAACACAGTGCTATGATGGCAGCTTCCTGCTCACGCCCGCCCCCGCTGCACTTTTTTCACTTGCTCCTAGAATGTTTCCAGAACATTTCCCACGAATACTTTTTGTTCGATGTCCAGCTATGCTCCGGTTTCACCGATGGTCCATTTTGTTGTGCGTCGTTCGCTCCTGACATTGGCGCTCTTAAGTGACATTGATTGCATTCCCTGAGTGCTCGCTTGTCTGGCTCTTCTGCTGCACAGGTGCAAGTGGATCCAGCTCCTAACCTGAAAATAAACTCCTGCGGTTCTCTTCCAGGAGTGAGGGCGCGTGAGAGCTGGGAGGCTAGCAGAAATTGCTCGTCGCGTTTTGGGCTTGCAGACATGTGAGGTCGACAGTCAGCGGCTGCTGAGTGGCAGAATGTCCCTGATGCTTAGCTGAGATTCAGCTCACTTGATCAGTGTTTGGGGGCTCATCCTGGTGGATACCAACAAAAGTTTGCCTGACTTAAGTACTTCACTCCCTGGGTATGATGGAAGCATAATGACATACTATTCCCGAAGCCCTAAGTCCTAAACCCTAAACCCTGAACCCTGAACCCTAAACCCTGAACCCTGAACCCTAAACCCTGAATCCTAAACCCTAAATGACAAGGCAGAGCTCAAAGCCGGCGGGTATCCTCAAAGAGAACTTTTCTTCGTGCCACCCGGACAGAAAAACCCGAAGGTAGCGTAGTTTCCATTTTCCTTTTCCATTCAATGGAACTACTATGTAGGGTTCAGTGTTTAGGGGAAATATCGGAGTTTCCCAAAATTAGGAGTGGCTTTGTTTGGGGCCTCCATGGCAGGGTCCCCTTATTTTGGGAAACTACCATATATTCCTGTAATCTTTATATTGCCATGTGTCCCTGTATAATATAACCCCGACATAGTATGAGTAATTATCTATGTGTCGCTGTATAACCGCCAGGAAGACTTGTACGTACTAAGGTTCTAAACCTTAAACCCCCAAACTCTTTCCCCTTCTATGGGCTTGGGATTGGACTTGGTAGCCCAGGCCACAGAAGAGCCAGACGGTCGGGCAGGATCCAGAAGGTGCGCAGGGTCATTGTTGCTTCTAGTGTTAACAGTAATAATAACAAAAGTAGTAAACATAATAGCAAGAAAATGAATAATATCAGCAAAAACAAAACTAAAGGTAACAATAATAATAACAGTGATGCCAGTAATAGTGTCCACAACATGTATCATAGTACGGATCATCCATCGTGGCAGGTGGTGCTTGCCGAGGATCATCGCCGCAAGATGCCAGTCGCTGGCCCCAGTTACTTATTGTCTGATTTTTGAGGTTTACGTTGATTTGTTGGGAGTATGTAAGAAGAAAGCTCATGCAGTCAATGAGCGGCCAACTTCGGCTGAAATGCAGGTAATCCCGACCCAAGACAGCGCAGCTTGGATGAACGAATCGCGTACCTGTGAAGGGAATTTTCGACTAATCGTGCTGGCGGAAAACTCAGGCAACTACTACGCCACCTGGACAGCTTTCACGCTCAAGGAATGCTTTGAAATTTGCAGCTGGAAGCAGGACAAGCAAGGGTCATGCAAGCAAAAAAGGCAAATCTAGGTAGTTGCTTGTCCTTCTTCGCCCCATCCCGACTGGCTCAGCTTAGACAATGATTTGTCAGCCAGTGATGGTTTGTGGCCATGCCTTGTTCGTATGCACAAGATAGATGAAGGCTACAGATTTACAGCAGAACATCCTTTTCCACGCGGCATGTCCAATTTCATGGTACGTAGTGACAGAGCAGGTCAGATGCGAACTGTGGGGTGCGAAGCATCACATATTCGGCGCCCTGCAGGACTGCACTGGCGTAGAGTTCTCCGAGAATCACTCGTACTGCGAAGCCGCGATCTCAGCTTTTGAGCGGCATGCTTAGAAGCTTGTGGGAAGAGCCTTTCAAAGCATGCTGTGGCCATTGAGGTTTGGAACGCTCCAATTCATTGGACGCAGCCGCTTGATGGCTACCAGTGCTACCTCGCCTATCCGCAGTCAGGACAGCCTGATGGCATCAGATGGAAGGCTGGTTCAGCTGAAGTTGCGGTCTCTGGCATGGCGGGGCCGAAGTCCACAGATCTGGTCCTGGAAGCGGTTCTGGGAGCCGTGCTCTTGCTGGGCATAGTGGCCGCGATCCTATGTGCCTGCAGACGATGGAAAAAGCCTTCGAGGAGAGCCAAAGCTTCAGAAGCTGTCAAAAAGCGAGGGCTAGATATTGACACGACAGACAAACACACGGGTGATGCAACGCATTCCGGAGATGAGCTGCAACCTTTGGTGGGTGGCGCATCTGAGCTGTCATCCCCAACGGGCCGCCACCTCAGACATGACATCACTATGGAGGGACATGTTTCAAAAGAGGTCACACAGCCCTGTGTCCAAAGACACCTCTTCTAAGGTAGCTTTGTTTCGGGTGTTGGGGGCCACACGTGGAATCCAGCTTCGCATCTTGATTGCCGAAGTACACTTTGTTCATTGTCTCTACAAAGCCAACACTCTGACTTTGAGCACGTGCAGCCCTCTTTTGCGCTGGATGTCCAGTATTTTGAAGTTTGTGCATTTTCCCGAGCCGCAGTCCAAGAGGCGTTTTGATGGGAAGTTGCTGTGATACTTTCCGAAGACCCTTCCGCCAGGAACTTCTCTTTTGCAGCTTCCGGGCGGCCAGGGGTCGGCTACGAGGCGTTGAGTCAGGGAGCTCAGGCACCGGGCCCCGGTGCACAAGATGGAGACCAGACCACCTACCTGCAGCAGCTGCGTCAATGGCTGCAGCCTGATCGCATTCTGTGGATCTTTGACGCATTCACAATTTTCACAATAAAAGTTCCGTTCACGGGTATTTGATGGATTTGTTGCTGAGCAGCTCGTGCTAGTGCATAGCCGTCAGTTGGATTGCACCTCAGGCAAGAATATGCCTCTCGGCAGCAGGTAATTGATGACGTAAACCAGATGGCGTTCCAGCCTTGCCTGACGACAAATCAGGAAGCAGCTCGCTTTCAGGAGCTGGCTCAGCTTCAGGCAAATGCGCAGGCCAGCTTTGCAGATCTTTCATTGCATCGGGTTACCTGGAGCCTCGCAGGCTCGCTTTGGCTACGCTGAAGGATCCCGCTTCGCACAATAATCACATTTGGCATATACACCCATGGCCAAAGTGCCACCTGTACACTACGCTTCAGGGCAGGGTGCTGCAAAAGGATGGCGCCTTGCAAGTTTCGTGGGCAATAGCCTGTTGTTTCACATTGATCAGCAAATTGGCAACTCCCGCATGGTGGCTGCAATGCAGTTGGTGCTGTACTTGTATGATCAGCCCTGTCTTTTGCTCGCACAGAGCATCTTTGTTCCATGTGCGTTGACGGCTGGTCTTGAAAGATGTGTCGCGCTCTCTTTCTTTAGGCCGCGGCCCCTCACGTCCGAGGAAAGGCAGCTGGCATGGCAAGAGACTCAACAAGTAACCCCACCGCCGGAAATTCAGGGAGCGTTGCAAATCCCCGATCTGCTTGCCAGGACGGCTGCGAATTTCTTCGATGCTACGTCCGAGCAGGTTCAATCATTTCATGAGTCCAGTGGTTATGCACGTATGAATCTCAGGGTTCTGGTGACTTCGTTGCTGCAGGCACATCCAATTGCGTTGTGGATTCTTGGGCCATCCTCTGTTGGGAAATCCACGATAACAGTTTGATGCTCAGTGGTCAGCGCGAATGTCCCGCATCGGCAGCCTGCAAGGTTGTCCTCCGATTTTTGAGGTGGATGTGGCTCCAGCCTTTGGAATTCCTCGCGCAGGCTCGTCGGGGTATCTCGGAAAATCAGATCTCAGCACCATCTTCTGCAGGTTGGGTCAACTTGGAGCACCAAGCTGATCGGAGGCAGCGGATGTTCACGAGAGACCCACACGATTCGTTGGGACTGCAGGCGCCAACTCGATGCCGTTGTAATTGATGGCGAGTGCCTTGCCCAATGAGCTTGCGCAAAACGAGAGAGGTTGTTGCAACAGAAATGGCGTGTGCTGCTTAACGTTATGCCAACAGACAGGTGCTGTATGATTGACTGGCTTGTTGCCTCCTTCGTCTTCAGCAGGTACATGCGAGATGCGCATGGGGTGTGGCAAGCGTGGGTTGAAACAGATGACTGGCGCTCTGCATACCCGGTGCCGCGCCCAGCACGGTAGAAATTACAAATGCTGGATGAGGTAATGTGCTATATCTAAGGCTTTGAAGGCCACCATAAACAAGGAGAAGGACAGCAGCGCCCTAGTAGCACGCCATGGAATGCTTCAGTTGGTTCATACTTACAGGACGACATGTGTGCTGAGGCGGCGGTGGGCTAAGTTGAATCCCCCAATGCGCGCTTCCTTTGCAATGTATAACCCCTATGTAACCTCTCTGTAACTCTTACATAACCCCCTGTAACCCCCTTTTAAAGGGTACCAAGCATGTATCTTCTGCATCCGCGGGCCCAGGTGCGCTGCCGCAAGAATTTGATCATTCCTCAGACAGCCTTGAAGTTGCCGAAGGCTGATGCCCCCCCCCGTAGGGTATATAAGGGGTTATATAGGGGGTTATATAGGGTTGTAGGGGTTATATAAGGGTTGTATAGGGATATTACCCTCAATCATGGAGAATCAAATGGACAAGAAAATGGAAGATGACATGCACACTGGGATTATAACGTAGTTTATAGGGATTGTATTCGGAAGCTAGTGTGAACCTCCTCCTGTCGTGTGTCTGCCTGAAACAGGCACTGGCTGAAATGGAGGAAATCAAAGCAAGTTGCTGGCCCAGGATGGTTCAGTGCTGGCTTAGATTTTCTCACTCTCCTAAGTAAGGCCGTTGACTGCAATTCAGGTGGGTACACGAATCACGTCCTGGCAGTGGTTGCTCCTTTGGCAGAGTGCCAAAGACGAGGGTGCCGTGGCTGATCACGAGCCTCCTTTTTGAGTACTACGCATTTTGCACATGGCAGTGTCCATAAACAGGCAGACCCCAATACAGACCCAACAATTTATTCCTGGATTTTAGGGGCCCGCAAAAAGAACCTTGAATTGTGGGAACCGTAATCCTATGAGAAATCGTAGTTTCCCAAATTGGGGTCCCCCAATATAGGCCCCCATATGCTATAGTCATTATGGTAGGGATCCCCAAAGATGGTACCCTTGATTTTGCAAAAACCCCAAATGGGGACGCTCTCATAGACCTTTTGGCAACCCTCGGGTACAAAGATCATTCCCTTGAAGCAGGCGAAAATGCTCAAAAAACAATGAACGAGACAACTCAAAACGAGACACCTAAAAACCCATGTCCATTAGCCAGGTATAGAATTTTGGCCATAGCTACCATCTTCCCAGCTTTCTTTTTTCTGTTCTATGTGATTCTCCCTTTTTGGGTGATTTCCCCCATGCCCGATATAACAACTACAAAGCGCCAATGTAATCTCCAAATCTCCTGCTACAAACCCTTGAAACATAATCCCCAGGTTATGCCAACCCCCATGTCTCGTGGAGCAGGCAAAATCGAGAGCTTTCAACTGGGAAGCGGTACCAGCCTGCAGAGCCAGGAGTCCAAGAAAGGGCACAATACTGGGTTGCTGTTAAGGAACTTATATACAGTTGCTATATTGGGGAAACCCTATTATTTACTACATATACCCATTATGGTAACTTAATTTAAGTTCCTTACAGCAACCCAGAATATCAATGGAAGTTGTAATGAGGATGTAGCAATGAAGATAATAGTCATAGGAGTAGTCATAACCATAATCAAAGTAGCAGTCCATATCATAGTGTTAGAAAAACAAAATTTAGTGATAGTGATAGTAAAAAGTTCTGCGCTGTATGATGAATGAAGTGCCGGAGAGGGTGCATGTTCATTTTGAACGAGGTATGCGCAGTCTATGTCTGCAATACCTCCGCTGATTGCAGCCAGCAATGGTCGCTTTAGGATTGTCTGGGGCTCATGCCTATGCTTGCAGAGGCCTAGCTCGTGCAAAGATGCATGGTGGGCCGGAAGTTGCAACGTAGAAGTCAGCATTTGAACTTGAACTTGCCATGGATGCCTAAACGTTCCGGCGCTTGTGTCAATGTGCATTGTTCCGGTAGCTGAGGTGCGGGCACGTGAACGGCCCGGCACGACGCATGGGATGGACTTCGACACCCTCCATGAAGGCACTGGTGGAACAGCAGCTTCGGCCCTAATTTTATTTGTTTTGTAGCACATTTGCGCTTGCAAGCTTGCAGCCTCAGAGATGACAGAATATGACAGATCAATGCAGCGTTTGGCATTTACAAGTGCTTGGTTTGGCTTTCCTGCATCCAAGCTGTATGGCAGCAGGGGGGCGGTATCTTTGCAGCATGCCTAGGTGAATGGCCTTAGTACACTCCAGATGACACCGCAAGAGGATCTGGAGGCCGGCAGACAAAAGGCAAATGTGGAGCAATGAGACGCTGAATTGGCCGTTGCACAGTCCATCATCAACGGAGCCATTTTCCCTTCCGTGCGCACCTCTGCCACCTCTCTGAGTATCCGTCAAATTGCATGAGGGCATGGCTTAAGGGCAACCTGGCACTGAGGAGGTGGCTGCAACCTGATACGCGACGCTCTGATTTTTTTCGTAATAGGTCTCACAAGATAATGACATAGCTAGCTTCCCAAATGCCTCATCCTTTTCCAGACGAAAACTTGGAGAATCCAATGCTTGTACTTGACTGAGAGGAGCTGCATAATGTTTAACACGGTTTAGGGTTTAGGGTTTAGGGGTTTAGGGTTTAGGGGTTTAGGGTTTAGCGTTTAGGGGTTTAGGGGTTTAGGGTTTAGGGTTTACCTGGGTTCCCCAGGTTCGTGCAATTCAGGTTTGACCGGAATCCTGACCTCCATCCAGTGGCTGGCACGGCAGACAAAAGTCAGCTCGCGATGAGCTATAGTCTCAACTCCTAGTATCCCCCTGCATGTTCTCTATAGTACTCCCCTATGTAATCTCCTAAAGAGCCCCTTTTAAGGAGTTAGGACTCTAGCTCATATATTACATATATATATATATCATGGATTTGATTCAAATGTACCTCTATAAAAGGACACGGGCGAGGCTCTGTTTTGGCTCTGGGGCCAATCCATCCAGGACAATCCATCCGGATGACCCCTTTCCTCTTGCGAGTCTCTTGGCTGCTCGTGGGGGCTAGACCGGCCATTCTCGAAAATTGGAATTGGGGGGATGCGCCGGCTCCAACAGCTCCTGGAGTTTTAAGACTTGCCGGATCGACATCTTCTATCATAGTAACCTAGAATTTTCGAGGAACGCCGGCGGCAAGGCCCCCATAAACGGCCAAGAGGCTTGGTCTCGACCTGATTCTACTTGAATGCCTCTCTCTGTCTCTCTGTCAGTCTGTCTGTCGGAGTTCTGTCGGTCACTCTCTCTCTCCCTGTTTCTATCTGTCTCTGTAAGCATCAGGGCTCAAGCTAATTTCTTATTTGTAGTGCGAGTGCAATGGCCTGAAGCTAGTGGCTCAGGGTGCGACACTTGTGAGGTTGTGTCTGCGAGTGGTGAGCTGCTTGTTAGTCGTAAGCGGAAACAACCGGCTTCCAACACAGCCTCGCTGTCATCTACGCAGCCAGACCCCCATGTGAATTTGACTACACCCTCGACAACCGGCTGCAAAACTTCTCCAAGGTTGGGGTAACTTGCACTATGGCTGGAGTGCCGAAGCACTCCCACGCAGGAAGTGTATAGACTCGTGGTGGAGACGTACTTCAGGGTGTATTCGGCCCCCGATCGGGAGAGC